CTCCTTCCTCCTCGCCGAGTCGTCGCGGCCAGCCGTGAAGTCGGGGTTAACTGAGCACGTGCTACGCGCCAGGCGCTCGGCTGGCAGCAATTCGTGATCTCTTTACCACACCCTGGGAGGCGCGGCTTCAACTCGCAAATGGAGAAACGGAGGCTTGGGTACTCCGTAGGGGCTAGGGTCATCCCCTTTGGACCTGCAGAATGGAAGGCCGTTTTCCATTCAGAGGCCCTTAAGGTCAGTCTGCCTCCAGCCCAGTGGGTGAGGTCCCAGGGGGAGGTGGGAAGGCGCTGGCTGGGGGTCTGCTAAGCCAGTGAAATGTAGAGCAAGTCCCGCCTGCTTCCGTTTCCACATCCGTGAAATAAAGGGAATGAGAGGCCAAAAAACAAAACAAAAATGTGTAAACAGTGGAGTCCATGAGGCGTTAGGTGTCCTGCCTGTGGAGGGCTCGTGGGAGGCTGGGTGGCTGTCTCCTTGGGGAGCCAAGAGGACCTACAGGCCAGGACTGGCTGCCTGGAATTAGGCTGAGCCAGGAATCTGCGTTTTTAGCAAGTGCAGATGCCATTGGTTTGGGACTCACTGGGGATTCCCTAAGGAGATGAAGGTAGGGGGTGGAGGCAGTCCTCCTGCAAACCTTCCACACTTGCCTGATTTATCTCTGCTTGGCTGGTCCGGGCTCATGGTGAGTGCACATGTATTAAGGATGTACTGTGTACCAAACTTAAGTCTATCAACAGACTACTCTGAGAGCTCATGGCATGGTTGGCTACCACACAAGTGAATGTCAGAGCTGCCCTCTGCCCAGCGGGCCCTCATGGGAGAACCGGAACCAAGCATCTTCTTCCAGGGGTGCGCGGTCCCGCGCCAGGCTGTAAGCTCAGTGAGCACCGCAAGGGCTGGGTTTCACCACCACTCTGCCCCTCGGCAGCCACCTTTGTGCAGGACACAACCTGGACAACCTCACACTGCGGCCTGTGGAGAGCCACAGAGATATAAGTGGGAGATACTGGGGAAAGGGACCAATGACTTCTCGCTGGAGGCAGGAATAGAGACAGGAAAACTCTACCGAGGAGGTCGACACTAAGCTGGATCTTTAAGGAGGAGCAGGAGCTCATGAGCTCCAGCGGGAAGTCCAGGCAGAGGCAAAGGCCAAGGCAACAACACACACGGGGCGGGAGGTTTTGGCTTGTCCTAGTGGGGGGAGGGGGGATAGAAGGGGGAGTGGGGGAACCGGTGGAGCAGGCAGGAGGGCACGCCCTTCCCTTGCTCCCACCTCTACACTGTGTGATGCTGCAAACCAGGCACAGTGTCTGAGTAGGCTTCCGTGGCCCGCTGCCTCACCCAACATCAATAAGAGTAACAATAATAATAGTCAGCTGGTAGTAAATATTGTCCCTGCACTGTGCTAAGTGGCCCCCCATCCATGCGTGATCTCATTTCATCCTCAAACTTTGGCTGGAAACAAGGGCTATGATTAGTCCCATGTTACAGAGAAGGAGTCTAAGGTGTAGGGGCGTCAAGTAACGTGCCTGAGGCCACACAGCTTTTAGGAGTGGAGCTGGTCAGGCCTCTTGGCCTCAGAGCCCTCATTCTGGGCTGACAGGTGGATGAAGGGATGAATGGATGAGTGGAGGGGGGTGCGGGAGGAACTCAACCCAGAAGGACCGGGAGTGCCTTGCTCAGGGGCTTGAACTATCTGGGCAGTGGGAAGACACTGGAAGGTTCTAAGTAGGAGACAGGTCAAGTCAGGGATTTAGAAAGATCACTTTGGGCGGGGCTCAGTGGCTTATGCCCACCCATAGTCCCAGCTCTGTGGAAAGCTGAGGCAGGAGGATTGCTTGAGCCTGGCAGGTTGAGATCTGCCTGGGCAACACAGCGAGACTTTGTCTCCACAAAATACAAAATGAAAACAATTAGCTGGGCGCGGTGGCATGCACCTGTAGTCTCAGCTACTCGGGAGGCTGAGGCAGGACCACCTGAGCCCAGAGGTTTAGCCTGCGGTGAGCCATGATCGTGCCACTGCACTCTAGCCTAGGCAACAGAGTTAAGACCTGACTCAAAAAAAAAAAATCACTCTGCTGACAGTGGGAGGATAGTTTAGAGCTGATGACACAAGACAGGAGGCCGTTTTTCTGGCAAATCCCAGTTCTTCACTGGAGTCTGGTTTCCTTAAGCACCGTGTTGTTTCTCTTAGGGCGAGGTGTGGGTCCTTATGCACACTCCAGGACTATATCCTGGAGGAGGATGCTGAAGAAGAGGGAGCTCAGACAGGAAGGGGAGAGGTTCTAGGGGAGAGGCCTCTGTGTAGACGGAGCCATGCAGACCCTCCCCATTTCCAAGGTGAGATGGACCCCTCAGGGTTTCCAGCCTGGAAGCTACAGGCCTCACACTGGCCCATTGTGCACCTGTCTGGGGGAATGAAGCCAAAAGTGCGGACGGTGTTGCATCAGTGTTAAGCCCAGGATCGAATGTTGGGGCGGTGGTAGAAGAGGTCGGGTTCCTCCCCTGAGCAGCTCCGGACACCATTGGCCTTTCCAGCCGGAGAGGGAGGGAGTCACAGGCACCAGCCTGGGGGTCAGATAAGCTGAAGGAAGGAAGCGGGATAGCTGGAAGGACCAGAGAACAGGGGGAGCTTCCCCACCTACACTCAAGGAGGCAAAGAGCCAGCTGGAGCCTGCAGGAGGCAGGAGGCGGGAGGTGGGCGTCCTCAGGCCGAGAGAGGCTCCCAGAGGGCCCCAGGATACCGTGGGCTCGCCATGCTGCCCTGCCTCATGCTGTTTCTCCTGATGGGGCTATCCACGCACACCATGGCCGGTGACAGTGGAGAGGAAGGAGCACTCGACACTGAAGCAGGGCCCTGGATAACTGTGACCTTGGAGGTACCTTTGGGGAGAGGCCTGACCAGGGCAGGGGACGATGCATGTGGAGGGGCGGGATCCCATCCATGGCTGCAGTGACAGTGGGTTGTACACAGCAAGGCGGGTTGTCTGAAGCCCCTCGAGGGTGGATTCAAGGCTGTGTGCCCTGGCCTGACAGACCGCCAAGGGGGGCATGCATATGACAGCAATTGTGTGTGTGTGTCTGTGTGTGATTTAAGAACTACTTTTTTCCCTTTGTGCCAGGGTCTCACACTGTTGCCCAGGCCTGGAGTGTAGTGGCACAGTCACAGCTCACCACAGCCTCAAACTTCTGGGTTTGGGCAATCCTTCCACCCTGGCCTCCTGAGTAGCTGGGACTACAGGCACACACCACCATGCCTGGCTAACTGTCTTATTTTTTGTAGAGTTGAGGTCTCATTATGTCGCCCAGGCTTGTCTCAAATTCCTGGGCTCAAGCAATCCTCCCGCCTCGGCCTCCCAAAGTGCTGGGATTACAGGTGTGAGCCACTACACCCAGCAAGAACTGCTAATTTAACACACACTATGTTCCCAGCTCTGTCCTAAATGCTTTTAAATATTAACTAATTGAATCCTCACATCAACCTCAGGGGGAAGGTACTGTGACTAGGAGACAGATATTCAAGTAGTTTGTTCAGGGCTGTACGACTTCAAAAGCACAAGTACACGCACCTTGTCCAAGGTCTGATTCTGTGTATCTGTGCATCAGAGGAGATTTTCCAAAATTTTCTTTCAAGGGGATCAACTTAAGCAGGATCATTATTTGGTCTCACATGTAGAAACTCTTTTTTTTTTTTGAGTTGGAGTCTCACTCTGTCGCCCAGACTGGAGTGCAGTTGCCACCGCAGCCTCGACCTGCTGGGCGCCGGCGATCCTTCCCCCTCAGCCTTCCAAGTAGCTGGAACTACAGGTGTGCGCTACCACGCCTGGCTGATTTTTGATTTATTGTAGAGATGAGATCTCGCCAAGTTGCCCAGGGGGGTCTCAAACCCGCGGGCTCAGGCAATCCACTCAGCTCAGCCTCCCAAAGGTACGGGATTACAGGCTGAGCCACTGAGCCCGGCAGAAACTTTTATATCCTGAAACCTGTATATCACAAGTTTGATTGTGATCTCTTTTGTTAAACTGACCTGAGTGCTGTCACTGGGGAGAGAGCTAAAAGTTGAAGACCTGGCACCTCAGTGCCCCTACTCCTGCCTAGCAAAGATCCTGACCTCAGGGAGCTCCTAATCAGACAGAGGCCAACAGATCAGAGGCCAGGGGACAGAGGCCAACAGATCAGAGACAAGCACGGGTGAGTAAGAGACCAGTGATCAGGGAGGGCTTCCTGGAAGCAGACAGGACACGGATGAGCGTGGCTCCTCCCAGGCCTGGCATGATGAGGACACCAGGGCTGACCTTGGTTTGTGGTCCTGGGCCACGGTATGGTCCCTGGAAGCTCCTAGAAATGAGGCCACAGGAAGAGCCATGGCATGGACAGTGCTGCATGGCAGGTCTCCTTTCCAGATTGTCTGAACGTTGAAGTGTGTGCAGTGAGAAGGTGGCAGGACCGAGAGCATGTCCACTGATTCCTGCTGCTTCTGGGTGTCAGTTTCCTCACTCGCAAAATGCGGGGAGAGGGAAGATGATCCCCAAGGCTTTTTCTCTAACGTTGACCTGCTTTAGCATCAGTGCCAGACATCAGAGTACCTGGCCCACAGACAGGGAAGACTTTACAGCCACGTGGGAAACTTTATCGTCAATTTCAACTAGAGCTGCTGGACCACCCACCCAAAAGTGCCTCATCCTGCAGCTGGGGCGAATCCTCATTCTCCATTCACTCTCCTTAAATACACCTCTGCTTCTCAAGAGACCGGGCTTGGAACACAGGAGGAGAGACTGGGTCAGATGTCAGGAAGAACTCAAAAGCCCTCTGGGTGCTCAGCATTAGCCCAAGTGGGGTGATGCAGGAAGGAGGAGGTGATGTGATGACCTCCCCAGCTCTCAGGGCTCCCCGCAGACATCTCTGGAGCTGGGATTGGGGTTAAGTGGTTATGGAGGGTTTCAGGCGGGAGCAGGACTCCTTCTAGAATTAAAAGGAATGATGCCTCCCCGTGCCATCCTGCTCAGAAAACTGGTGGGTGGGAGAAGGGCCAGTCCTTATTTAATTCATAAACGGCCATTCTCTCCAGCCTGCATTTGAAGGCTGCCTTTTACCAAGGCAACACGAACTTTACAGAAATGGGTCCAAATCTCAAGACTTTTCTGAGCGACTCCAGCCCCAGACATCCGTCCCAGTCGCTGATGTCCTGTGGGGCAGGGGGAGACAGATTGGAAGTAACTGATTTAGTCTAAGGCTTAGAAAACAATCTGTTCCTGATCCTGAAAGGTGGGACAATTCAAGTTGTGAGAGGCAGAGGGGTTTCCATTGTCCCCAGCCAGGTCCCTGCTGGTCCCAGGAGCTCCAGCGCTACTCTGGGGAAATTGGGGATGGCAGAAAGAGCCCTGGATCAAGCTTTGGCTCCCAGCCTCCTGGCCGGCCGCTTGCGCTACGCTGGGGCTCTGTCTGCCTGCCTTTGGCTTTCCTGGAAAAGAAAACCCCACCCTTTCCTTATCCCCAAACTGTCAGAGAAGGGGCCCCTCATTCAGCATTGTGTCCCACACATGCTGGGCCATGTGTGCCGTGAAGACAGTCTAACGAGTCACCTACTGTCACTCCCTCAGCTTCAGAGCACCTCTCCCTGTCAGCAGAGCTGATCAGGCCCCTCTCCGGGTGAGAGTCACAGAGGGAGAGGGTTTTGGAGAAGGCGAATGGAAGAGTGAGACCCTAGACTCACAGTCCTTGGTTCGGGATGTTTGCCCCATCAGCTTGGGGATTAAAATGTCTTTGCCCAGGATAATAGTCTCCACCTAGACCACATGCCATGTTCCTCCTGGGGGGCCCAGGCTCTAGGGTAGGGTAAATCCAGGATACTGGGGGAAAGGGGGGGGGAGTTAGAGAGGGGGTTTGGAGAAGCAGTCCCACCTTGCCTCCAGGGGGCCCACCCTGCATTCCCTGGCTGCCCTCTCCTCAGCTACGTCAGGAACATTTCCCAAGGTGGAGGAGAACCCATACTCTGGAGTCAGACTTTGAATCCTGGTTCAATCACTTCCTATGTGACCTTCCACAAGTCACTTGACCTCTTTATATCTCAGTCTCTCTGTCTGTAAAATGGGGACAAAATCACAGTCCCTACTTCTTAGGGTGGTTGTGAAGATTGTATGAAATTATGACTGGGGTGTTTGAGGCCCAGCCTTTGAGCTGGATGGCCTGGGTTCAAGTTCTGGCTCCATCTCTCACTTCCTAGCTGAGTGACCTTGGACAAATTATTTACTATGTCTGTGCCTCGGTGCTTTCACGTGTAAAATGATGACTGTGATAGTACGGAGGTAGTGTTCTCATGGGGTTTGGTGAGGCAGTAAATGAGTTATGACATTTAAGTGCTCAGAACATAGTAGGTGAAATATGCAGGCGTGCCCAGTGCCCGTGCAGAGGGAGTGTCTGTGATCGAGAGCTGTTGCTGTTGAGACTGCGATTGGCCTCCCTGTCTCTCTAACCCACCTCTCTGCTCCCTCAGGAAGGCTCTGGTCCCAGCATTCAGCTCCAGCTGCGGGAGGTGAAGAGGGGCAAGGCCAGCCAGTTCTTTGGGCTGATGGGGAAGCGTTTGGGAGGTGAGTGGCCAAGGTGGGCGGGAGCCCCGCAAACAGGGGCCCTGGGTGGGCTTTGCAACACCAAGGAGAGGCCCACTTAAAGCCCAGGGGTCAGGTACTCCAGTCCAGTAGGGGCCACTCATGAGATGGTATCGGGTAGACCATCCGTGTAAATTACCCAGGATTCTTCGGAGTGTTCATGATTACGCCAGGCGACAGGTGTAAATGGGCTGTCTGTATGGTCACCTAAAGGGTGGAGACAGGCTCCTTGCATCCTGTCCCTTGCACCTTGCGCCCTTCCCTTCCACACTCTGGATGCCTCCAGGGAGGACTGGCTGTGAAGATAGAGACTGGTCTAGACATGAGCACAGCCACAGCCAAGCTTTCTAGGCAGTTCTGTTTGGCTCAAACAGAATCACAAAAATGAACTTGTGTTCCCTGAGGACACCTTCAATTCGGGAGTCCTGTCCTGGCGGGGAGAGAAGAGAGCCTCGACAGAGCAGTTTTTTCTTTCTTATTGTCAACATTAAAAGGGTAGTGTTCTGTGTTGGTGAGAATGTGAAGAAACTGGCACTTTTATATGTTTTCTATTTGGAGGACATACCAGTGATACCCATTCGAAGTTGTAAATGCATGTGCCTTCTGACCCAGGGTCTCACTTCAGGGAATTTAAGCCCTGAGATGTCTATAACAGAATGCTCATTGCCAACTGGCTTGTCATAGCAAAAATTTGGAAACAAAGACTATCAGGGAATGGCCAAAATATATTAGGCACATCCATAACCTTGTGGCTATTAAAGAGAATGTGAGGCAGGCCTGTGGAAAGTCATGGAAAGATCTTCAAGATATATAGTAAATGGGAAAAAGCAGTTACAAAACAATATGCATGGGGGGAGTCTACTTAAAAAAAACAACTACATATTCACACACATAGATATGCAAATGCATAGAGAAAATTCTAGAAGGATAAATATCAAACTGTAAACAGTGGTTACATCTAGGACAGGAAATGGAGATGAGGGGGAGAGAGTGAAGATAGACTTTAAATTTTACTGGACAAACCTCTACATTGCTTTTTTTTTTGAATTGGAGTCTCACTCTTATCGCCCAGGCTAGAGTGCAGTGGCACGCTCACGGTCACCACAGCCTCGACCTATTGGGCTCAGGTGATCTTTCTGCCTCAGCCTTTCGAGTAGTTACAAGGAACTTCAGGTGTGTGCTACCATGCCTGGCTATTTTGATTTATTGTAGAGACAAGACCTTGCCAAGTTACCCAGGCTGGCCTCGAACCCCGGGGCTCAGGCAGTCCTCTCGCCTTGGACTCCCAAAGTGTTGGGGTTACAGTCTTGAACCACCACACCCGGGCTGCTTGATTTTTTTTTTTAAGAGTGAGTATGTGTTCAAAGGATCGCTTGTGTAATCAAAAATATGCATGTAAAAATAGAGAAAGCCCTTTTGGCCTTAGTTTCCTCCTAATGATTGGGCCATTTCCAAGTTCTCTTTCAAATCCAACAACCCATAAAGAGCAGGGGATGGTGGTGTAAGGGAAATATTTCTTGAGCACCTACTACTCTCACACATGATTAAATCACAATATTACCCTCCTCGTCACCAGGGGGAAAACCAAGGCTTAGACAGGTTAAGTGCTTTTCCCAGGGTCTCCCACTGAGCAGTGCACTTCCACTACTCCACACTGCCTCCTACTGCCACAGAAGACAAGTGAGCAGTGGCTAGACTTCCACTGAGACCCACCAAGGCACCGGCCCCCGGAATACCTGTACTGTTCCCACCTACCAAGTTCCCAGAAAAGCAACACAGTACGCATTCCTTCTCTCTCCTTTCCTCAGGAACACCTGCCATCCAGCCAGGAAGAACGACAGGTGTAGGTACGTGTTGCCCAGACCTTGCCCTCAGCACACCCCCTGGGAAGGGCTGAGTTGTCTTGGCCACTGACAAATCAGGGAGGGAGGAGAGAGGTTCTGGCCAGAGGCACGCCAGCCTGGCGTTGCTGTGTAGTGGGTGGGGCCGGTGTGGTTTGGCCACATGCTAGGCTTTCTGGTTGTTTCCTCAGAGGGGTGGTCTACACATGTCTAGGAAGTCGTTGCAGGGATAGGAGGAGACAATGATGGATTTAGCTCTGCCAAAGTTTCAGAATTACCTTTTGTCTAAAGCCTGGAATTAGAAAAATGAATCAACCAGCCGGGTGCGGAGGCTCACGCCTGTAATCCCAGCACTTTGGGAGGCCGAAGCTGGAAGACTGCTTCAGGCCAGGAGTTCGAGATCACCCCAGTCAACATAGTAAGACCTCATCTCTACAAAAATAAAAAAATTAGCTGGGCATGGTGGCCCGTGCCTGTAGTCCCAGCTACTCAGGAGGCTGAGGCAGAAGGATTGCCTGAGCCCAAAAAGTTGAGGCTGCGGTGAACCGTGATTGTGCCACTGCATTCCAGCCTGGATGACAAAGGGAGATAAAAAAATAAAAAAAGGAAAGGAAAAAGGAACATTAATCAACTACCAAAGATAAGGGTGCTCAAAGCTTCAATCTCCTCACCCAGAAGGATCTTACAGTACAAATCTGCATAGCTACTACCCTGCTTAAAACCCTTCAGTCAAAAGGAAAAACATCAAAAGAAAACAGGCCAACCTGTGCCCCCACCCCCAGTGCTCTCAGGGACAAGTCCAATCCCTAAGGTGACCTACTTCCTCCTGGGGCAGCCCTCACTGACCTCACTCCCGCTCTCCTTCCCTGACCAGGGAAGCTGTGGGCAGCTTGTCTCCACAGCCTGAGCACCACACTCCCTTGGTACACTGCACTCTGCTATCCTGGGGTTCCCAGCCTGAAAACCCCCCAACAGGCAGGCATTAGATCTGCTGTCACCTCTGTATCCCCAGCTCTCAGCACAATTTTTGCCAACTAGAAGCGCCCGCTAGGTGTTTGTGGAGGAGGAACAGAAGGGAAAATGGAGGAAAAAAAGGAAGGAATCAATGAATGAACCAGTGAATGGATGAACCAGCCCACCGTGTTTCCTCAACTCCCAGGATGATTTGAGAAATGACTCCACTGACAAGGTCACTTGCCCTGCCATGGTTCCCAAGACAGCCCTCCTCTGCAGCCTCTCTCCTCTCCCCCTTCTCTCTCCCATCCAGGGAATCAGCCAGAACACACGGTCCAGGATCTTCTGGACAGATGCCTGTCCACAGAAGGTAGGCAAGGGTCTCTAGTGGGTGTGAAAGCATTATGAAAAGTGGCCATGTTGGTGGGGGTCAGGCAGCTGGACAGACAAGCTCCCCACAAGCCATTAGGCAGAGGACCCATAGGGGAGGAAGTAGAAGAGTCATGATGATCCAGGACTAGAATAGGGGTGGCCCTGTAGCTGCACCCACCCCACCCCTGATATACCCACCTGCATTCTGCCCCATCCCCCAGGGTAGTTTTCCAGACCTTGGAACATCCCCTTATTCCCTCATTGTCTGTAAAGTTCTAGTCATTGACCATTACACAAGCCATTGATCATCAGGGTCATGCTTTCAATCTTCAAAAGATTTTCTGCCTTCAACAATTGTAAATAAGCACAAATGGAGGACTCATGCTCTAAGCAGTTATCAGCTCACACATTCTGGCAGGGGCCACACCCTCAAACTGTTCCAAGGAGCTGGGCACAAAAGTTAGGGAAACGAGCCTGGCTCAGTGGCTCAGCCTGTAATCCCGTGCCTTTGGGAGGCTGAGGGGAGTGGATTGCCTGAGCCCGCAGGTTCGAGACCCGCCTGGGCAACTTGGCGAGACCTCATCTCTACAATAAATCAAAAAATTAGCCAGGTGTGGTAGCACATGCCTGTAGTTCTAGCTACTTGGAAGGCTGAGGCGGAAGGATCGCCGGAGCCCAGCAGGTCGAGGCTGTGGTGGCTGGGAGCGTGCCACTGCCCTCCAGTCTGGGCGATAGAGTGAGACTCCAACTCAAAAAAAAAAAAGTTAGGGAAACAAATCAGGGTAGGGAGAGATCACAGCTCAAGTGAGCAGGCACAAGAGAACAGTGGTGGGTGCTCCAGCTGGTCGCAGAGCTGCAGCCTGCCTGCCCTGGGACCTGGCCTTTTCCCCAGAGCTAGACTTCTGGACCCCTCTCTAGCGCCCTGAAAGAATACCTGCTTCGTCCATTCCATCCAAGAGCCATGGAAGTCACCACAAGACCAAGTAGAAATTAAAGTTCCTCCATTGTATGGTGTGGACAGGGCACTTGGAAGTCATCATTTTTTCAGAGACAGAAAGCTACTTGCCCAAAGTCACACAGTGGACTGGGACCGACAGCTGTGTCTCCCGTTTCCTAGTCCACGGCATTTTCCATGTCCCCAGCAGGACCTTTGGGCTTTCTGAATCCCCTAGATGAACCTGTCATTCCATCGCCCAGATAGCTCCAGACAGGACACACAGGGGTTAAGTGGGATGGCGAGCCTATGTGGGGTGAACTAGGGAAGTCCTCCAAGGGTGGGGGAGACAGATAAGCCTCCCCTAACCTTCATTCACCTACCAAATTCTCCCCAGGCAGAAAGGATGATGACCAAGGTTCAGAGTGATAGCCCCCACTGCACGCTTCCCAGAGGGTTTGATGCCATTTCCCCACCTGGAAGTCACAACTGACCAGCAGCAGGCCAACTCTCCTCTCCGTGTCTCCTGTCCTCAACACTGGCATTTTACACTCAGCCTGCACTGAACTCACTGGGCTTCTTCCAGTACTCGGTGAGATGCAGCAGTTGTGCATAAATACGTGGTCATCACCATGGAGCTGCAGCACCCTGTCCTCCCTCGCACTCAGAGCTTTCATCTCACTGCACAGCAGCGGTGAACCTCGCACACTCTGTGTTCCCTGTGCCAGCTCAATAAACGAGTGACCAATGAACAGCTGCTTCTCTGATGCATGGCAGAGGGCAGGATCAGCCTGGGCTTTGCACCCTACTGGCATGTCAGCCAGTCTTACGCGGTCCTTACCAAAATTGCAAAGAGAAACAATGAACAGCCCTGTCCCATCCACGGGTGGAAAACAGGCTTGACACAGGTAAAGACAACAGATAAAAACAGGAAAGAGACCATGACAGGGAAAGGAGGTACTGCAGGCATTTGGAGTGGAAGGGATTTGAGGGCAAGGGATCTTTTTTCCCTGTAGGAACCTATGAAGCCCCAGCCTGAAAGTAGACACCCTCTCCCTACCCACAGCCATAATCTCAAGGGTCCAAATCCATGTCTCTTCTGACTTGTTGAGTGTACCAGGTCACTCAACAATTCCCTCGTATACGATGGCCCTTCCACTAACTGCTTTGATTTTAGGACAGTTAGCCCCTGAGAAGAACTCCAGAGGAATAAGCAGCTCCCAACCTCAGGGAGACACAGACTGATGTAGACAGCACTGTCCCCACCCTAATAGCTCCCAGGCAGGTGTGATGCAGAGGGGCCCAGGATACTTTGAAAGAGGAACATCAGCCGGGTACGGCAGCTCATGCCTGTAATCCCAGCACTCTGGGAGGCCAAGTCGGGAGGGTTGTTTGGGGCCAGGAGTTTGAGACCAGCCTGGGAAACAAAGTGAGATCTTGTCTCTACAAAAAATAAAACTAAAAAAGAAAGAGGCACATCGGCCAGATCAGCCAGCATGAAACCCTATGGGGAAAACCCAGGTCTAAATGCTCAGGGGCTGAACCCAAGAGCAGGCTGGGAATTGTGCAAGTGGACTTGGCAATAGAGGCTCAATACTTACTGGGCTACTGAACTTAGCTGCTGTGTGTTCCTCTCTCCAAAAAGAAGGAAATGGGTTAGGAGTTCTTCGGTGTTTGAGTCTTTGCAGCATGGGGAGGGGGTGAGGGAAAGTGAGGCTATATTTAAAAGGAGGAAGCAGGTTCTGGGTCAGAGGGCAAGACCCTCCTTTGGTGCCAGGAAAGGCTTTAGTGACGGTAGAAGTGACTGGAGAGAGGTGGCCAGATGGCGCCAGCACAGGTAGGAAGAATCCTGGAGCAGCAGCCTTTCTCCTGAGACTGTACCTTACCAGTGATGACTACAGACGTGGGGACAACACAAGCCTCCTCTCTGGGGTCTGGCACTGCTGCAGCTTGCCAGTTAACATGCTTCTCACTCCATGTCCTCCCACCCTCCTAACCCACCTAGGGTCTGCCCCGCCCCACCCACCCAGCAGTGAGGCCCCAAGAGGTGGTTCACACAATCACCAACTGCAAGAATCAGCAAAGAGGATGAAAGACTTTATGCTGTGTTTGAAGTCTGGGACATTTAGGAAAAAACCAAATCCACCAAATCCTTGAGTTTCCTCTAAATATGGGACCAGGGACATGAACAAAGAACGAGGGAGGAGTTTGTCCCAGAAGACCTAGAGGTCCTATAAAGCCCCCATTCCAGGCATTTTTTTCAAATTCGCCATGTTCACTCAGTCTTTTGACTTCTGTACACGTCATTCTTCCCATTCTGGTGAATTCTCCCAGAGGTCGAGTTCTCCATAAAGGATTCCCAACCCGGGGTCCACCATCCGCTCCTTCCCTGGTGTCCCGGAAACTCCCTGCACTTCCTCCATCCAGCTTTTCATCTGTTATGACATTGATTTCATAATGCATGGGTTCTCTCAATAAAACAGGGTGTCTCCAGGACAGGGACCACGTCCAGGTATCTCTGTACCCTCAGCACCAACAGCAGTGCTTGGCAGAGGTCCCGAGTGTTGTGAGGAAGGACTCATACCTCCTATCCCCAAGGAGTCTGTCTCGAGGAAGCCAGGCTTGACACAAGTAACTGAATAAGAGCTGCCACTTAGTGCTAACACATATCCTGTGTTGCTCACCTCAGCCTGTCCACACGCTGAACATTGATCTCCTGCCTGAAAGGTATGCCTCGGTCTTCTGCATCTCCGCAAATGGCACCCCTGTGCCCTTCGCTGCTGGAGACCTGGGGGTTCCCCTCAACTCCTCACAACTAATGCCTCATCCCCTACTTGTTGAACCTTTCAAAGTCAATCTGGGGTGCATTCTTCTTGCCATCATCACCATCTTAACATAAGCCACCTTCATCCCTTGTCTGGCTTTCCATCTTCCTGCCAGCCAGCCACCTCCAGCCTTTCTCCAACAGAGCATGAACTCTTAAAGGGGAGCATGCGCCAGGCTCGGTGGCTCAGCCTGTAATCCCAGCACTTTGGGAGGCTGAGGTGAGTGGATTGCCTGAGTCCATGGGTTCGAGACCTGCCTGGGCAACTTGACGAGACCTCATCTCTACAGTAAATCAAAAATTAGCTGAGCGTGGTAGAGTGCGCTTGTAGTTCCGGCTACTTTGGAAGGCTGAGGGGGAAGGATCGTCGGAGCCCAGCAGGTCGAGCAGTCTGGGTGAGAGTGAGACTCCAACTCAATAAAAAAAAAAATAGGGGCATGCTCACCCCTTGTTGGTCACAGTTCAATGGTGTCCTAGAATATGACACTCTTGCAGGGACCTCCATGGCCCTGTGCTCTCTGAGACTCACACACACCGAATGCTGGCTTGTCTTGGTGTCCAGACACTTGCCCAGTCCCTTTCCTCCTCCCCTGGCTAATTTGGCTTTCAGGTCCAGGATAACGCCCTTTTTCTTAGACAGGGTTTACTACCTGCCAAGCTCAACAAACTCTTGCTTACTATGCTTTCACACACCATGCCCTTTCCCTCTGCTGCACTGATCACAATTAGAAAGCATACATATTTAACATGTCCCCTCCAGGAGATTGCCATTTCCTCATCCTTTGTTTTACTAGGGAACACCAGGTTCTCAAGACATAATGGCATCTAATGAGCATGCATTTGTTGACTGTTTTGAAAGTACCCTCATCTCATTTCTCCACCGCTGTGTATCAAACTATCCTAGAACATAACAGCTTAAAGCAGTCTTTCTCACAATCTGAGCTGGCGGGACTTGGCTGGATGTTTCTTTATTTATTTATTTTTTTTGAGTTGGAGTCTCACTCTGTCGCCCAGACTGCGATCCTTCCGCCTCAGCCTTCCGAGTAGCCGGAATTACAGGCATGCGCTATCACACCCGGCTGATTTTTTTATTTATTGTAGAGATGGGGTCTCGCCAAGTTGCCCAGGCGGGTCTCAAACCCGTGGGCTCAGGCAATCCACTCACCTCAGCCTCCCAAGGCGTGGGATTACAGGCTGAGCCACCAAGTCCAGCTTGGATGTTTCTTTAACTTCATGTGGCATCAGCGGCGTCACTCATGAGGGTACACTCAGCTGGGAGCCTGGTTGGGGCTGGAACCTTCAAGATGCACACAAGTCTGGGTTTTGGTGCTATCAGTAGGACATCCTGGCTCTCCTCTACATGATTTCTCATAATTCAGTAATTCAGCCCAGGCTTCTGGTTTGGAAACACGACAACTCATTTTCAAGAGCAAAACTGAAAGCTGCCAAAAATATCACTTCGATGACACTCAA